GGTGGAGCTCCCAATGGGGCCACGACACGTTGTCCTGGGTGGGGGAAACGCATGCGAACGGCGCCATTGGGACGTTCGCTGGAGCTCCTTTTTATGGGGCCACCAAGCGCTGTCATGTGTGGGGGGGAACGCATGCGAACTGCGCCACTGCCGCCTTCGGTGGAACTCCCTATGAGGCCCCGAAACGCTGTCGTGGGTGGCGTTGACGCACGCGAACGGCGCCATTGGGACCTTCGGTGAGGCCCCCTTGTATGGGCCCACGAAACAGTGTCCTGGGCGGGGGACACGCATGCGAACGGTACCACTGGGGCTTTCGGTGGGGCTGGGCTCCCTGTGGGGCCACGAAACGCTGTCCTAGGTGGGGGGGCGCATGCAAACGGTGCCATTTGGGTTTTCGGTGGAGCCCCTTGTGAGGTCAAGAAAAGCTGTCCTGGGTGGGGGAGACACATGCGAACGGTGCCACTGGGGCCTTCGGTGGAGTCCCCTATGGGGCGTCGAAGCGCTGTCCTGGGTGGGTGGGGGTGCGAACGATACCATTGGGGCCTTCGGTGGACCTCCCTATAGGGCCACGAAACGCTGTCCTGGGTGGGGGAAACGCATGCGAACGGTACCATTGTGGCCTTCGGTGGAGCTCCCTATGGGGCCAAGAAACGCTGTCCTGGGTTGGGGAAACGCAAGCGAACGGTACCACTGGGGCCTTCGGTGGAGTTCCCTATGGGGCCACAGAGCGCTGTCATGGGTGGCGGTGACGCATGCGGACCCTGCCACTGCCGCCTTCGGTGGAGATCCTTGTGGGGCCACGAACCGTGTGAGGGGTGTGCCTACCTGGATGGCGTTGACGCACGCAGACCCTGCCAGTGGAGCCTGCGGTGGACCTCCCTAAGGGGCCACGAAACGCTGTCGTGGGTGGCGTTGACGCATGCGGACCCTGCCACTGGAACCTTCGGTGGGGCTCCCCATGGGGCCACGAAACGCTGTCCTGTGTGGCGTTGACGTATGCGGACCCTGCCACTGGAGCCTTCGGTGAAGTTCCGTTTTGTCCTGCGTGGCGTTGACGCATTCGGACACTGCTAGTGGAGCCTTCGGTGGAGCTCCCTGTGGGGCCACGAAACGCTGTCCTGGGTGGCGTTGACGCATGCGGACCCCGCCAATGGAGCCTCTGGTGGAGCTCCCTATGGGGCCACGAAACGCTGTCCTGGGTGGCGTCGACGCATGCGGACCCTGCCACTGGAGCCTTCGGTGGACCTCCCGATGGGGCCACGAAGAGCTGTCTTGGGTTGCGCTGACGCATGCTGACCCTGCCAGTGGAGCCTTCGGTGGTACCCGCTATGGGGGCCACGGAGCACTGTTTTGGGCGGCGTTGGCGCATGCGGGCCCTGCCATTGGGGCCTTCGGTGGAGCTCCCTATGGGGCCACAGAGCGCTGTCATGTGTGGCGTTGACGTATGCGGACCCTGCCACTAGAGCCTTCGGTGGAGCTCCCTATGGAGCCACGAAGCGCTATCCTGGGCGGGGGACACGCATGCGGACCCTGCCACTGGAGCCTTCGGTGGAACTCCCTATGGGGCCACGGAGCGCTGTCATGGGTGGCGTTGACGTATGCGGACCCTGCCACTGCCGCCTTCGGTGGACCTCCCTATGGGGCCACGAAACGCTGCCATGGGCGGCGTTGACGCATGCGGACCCTGCCACTGGAGCGTTCGGTGGAACCCCCCTATGGTGCAACAAAGCGCTGTCCTGGGTGGCATTGGCGCATGCGGACCCTGCCACTGGATCCTTCGGTGGAGCTCCCTGTGGGACCACGAAACGTTGCCTTGGGTGGCGCTGACGCATGCGGACCCTGCCACTGGAGCCTTCGGTGGAGCTCCCTATGGGGCCACGAAGCGCTGTCCTGGGCGGGTGAAACGCAGGAGGGTGACGAGACGGATGGGAGGAGAGAGGAGGGGAGGAGGAGGGGGAGGAGGAGAGGGAGGAGGAGAGGGAGGAGGAAGACAGGAAGGAGAGGAGGAGAGGAGAGGAGAGAGAGGAGAGGAGAGGAGAGGAGAGGAGAGGAGAGGAGGATGAGAGGAGAGAGGAGAGGAGAGGAGAGAGATGAGGAGAGGAGAGGGAGAGGGAGAGGAGAGGCGAGGCCGCGGAGAGGGCGAGGCGAGGCGAGGCGAGGCGAGGCGAGGCGAGGCGAGGCGAGCGAGAGGAGAGGAGAGAGAGGAAACAAGAGGAGAGGAGACGAGTGAGTGGAGTGGGAGTAGGAGAGGAGCAGAGAGGAGGAGAGGAGAGAGAGAGAGAGAGGAGAGAGGAGTGGAGGGAGTGGAGTGAGGAGTGGAGTGAAGCGGAGTGAGAGAGAGAGGAGGGAGAGGCGAGGAGAGGAAGGAAGAGATGAGAGGAGAGTGAGCGAGATGAGAGAGGAGAGAGGGAGGGGAGGGGGAGAGAAGAGGGAGAGAGAGGAAGAGAGGAGGGAGAGGAGGAGAGAGGGAGGAGAGGAGAGGAGAGAGAGAGAGGATAGGAGAGGAGAGGAGAGGAGAGGAGAGAGGAGAGGAGAGGAAGGAGAGGAAGGAGAGGAGAGGAGAGGAGAAGGAGAGGAGAGGAGAGGATAGGAGGAGAGGAGAGAGAGGAGAGGAGAGGAGAGGAAGAGAGAGGAGAGGGAGGAGAGGGGAGGAGAGGAGAGGAGGAGAGAGAGGAGAGGAGAAGGAGGAGAGGAGAGGAGAGGAGAGGAAGAGGAGAGGAGAGGAGAGGAGAGAAGGAGGAGAAGAGAGGAGAAGAGAGGAGAGGAGATGAGAGGAGAGGAGGGACGCGGGGCGCTGTCTCTTCAAAACAAAGACCCAACACCACAGGATGGTTGAAAAAATATGTCTACTAGCGTGGACCCCAGACAGTGAGTTATTCTACGATGGACGCGCACAGTATGTGGTGCAAACTATGTGGTGCAAGGTATGGGGTGCAATCTATATGGTGGAAGCTTTCAGGTGAAGGCTATATGGTGCAAGCTGCATGGTGCAACTCACCCTTCCACACGCAACTTGTTTGGCAAAACCCACTCAACCAAGATACTTGCTGATTGGCACCTGCACGCGCGTCGCTGCGGCAGCACTGGCGCGCACACGCTCGCGCGCAGAGCGACCAGCTGGTTTGGCGCAACGGATGCGCCCGCTATGGCGACTAAAGATGGGAACTTCCCAACGCCTCTCCCAGGCCGCGCTGGCGCGCGGGCACTTCACTGCGGGTCGGTGACCCGAGCGGGCGCGACATCTGATGACGTCGGCAACGACAGTAACGATGATGATAATAGCAGTGACCGTGGCGATGATGAAGGTGACGACGGCAAGGCCAATGACGGCACCGATGCTCGTGATGACGATGACGATGATGGTGTCCATGCATCGGTGATGAATGTGATTTTGATGGTGGTGGCGGCCATGGCGGCGGTTGGCGATGACGACCCCTGCGGTTATGCGATGGCACTGGTGAGGGTCATGAGGAAGTGCGCGCGCAGAAATCCAATAGTCGTGGCAAATGGTTAAATGAAACATGCTTCTCGTCATATGCTTTTGAAGATCCCAAGATGACATGCTTCGAGACGAAACAATGATTCCAGAAGGATTTCGACACGCGCGCGCGCGGCGGTGCGCCGCCTGGTATTATTTGGTGCGGATCCACGAGCTGGGCGCATGCCAGATCCACGCGGCTGCACCGCGCGGTGACATGAGAGTGCGGATTTGGGGCGATGTTGCTGGAATCTTATGGTTTCCCCACAACACCAGCACATGCGCGCGGGCAGAGAATCTGCAAGATCTTCCCTTGTAGACCAATGAGTCCTTTAAAAGCTTTTATGCGGAATGCTTACAGAATCCCACCAGCCCTCTGGGCGTAGGTGGTTGAGGGAGTTTCCTCTTCCCCTTCCCCTGGACCTGGACGGGGGGGTCCGCGACGCGTTGGAGCGTCCAAAACGGCCTCGGCGAGGAAGCCAAAATCATTGGTTTTACTAGGGTTTCGGCCCCATTTTGGCCTCTTGAGAGGGGGGGGGCTAATTGAGCCCCCCCCCCCCTCCTGTGATCGATCTCCTCCAAGATGGCCCCAAGAAGCGCCCAGGAGGCCCCAAGAGGCCCCGAGATGGCCCCAGGATGGCCCCATGTGGCCCCAAGAAGCCCCCAAGAGGCCCCCAGAATGCCGCCAAGAGGCTCCCAAGAGACCCCCACGAGGCCCCAAGAGACCCCCCAGAGGCACCCAAGACGCTCCAAGAGGCCTCGGCGAGAATGCCAAAATCATTGATTTTACTAAGGTTTTGGCCACATTTGGGCCTCCTGGGGGGGGGGGGGGGGGGGGCACTGCTTCAGATGACTCCACGAGCGCCTGGGAGAGCCCATGATGACCTCCAAGATGGCTCAAGATATCCCAAGATGCCTCAAGATGGCTCCCACGATGCTCCAAGAGGTCTCAAGACCGCTTCAAGACGGCTCCAAGAGGCCAAAGAGCTTCCCCAGGAGGCCCCGAAGAGGCCAAAATCCGTCCAAAACCTTAGGAAACTCAATGTGTTGGGCTTTCTCGCCTGTTCGCTTCCGATGGCCATCCGAGGCTTCAGGATGACTCCAAAATGGCCCAAGAGGGCTCCAAGAGCGCTCCGGTGTTCTGGATGTTTTCGACATGTACGCGCGCGTGTGATCTTTGTGGTGCTTCTTGTTTTGCACAGAGCGCTTGAAAACGACAGTTCTCTAAGATCGTTTCGATCGATGGTTCTAATCGTGGTGAAAAGGGGACCACCGAAGAGCCACACAAGGAGAACGAAACAGCCTAGACCGCCCATTCCGGCACGGTCTAGCGGCGGTTTCGCTTGAGACCTCCTTGCAATCATTCAAGAATCGTGCTCCCGCCTCACTCGCCATCGCTCGGACGTCCATTCACTCTGTTTTTGTTCGGTTTCGTGCGTGGTTTTTTCGCCAAATGATCAAGGATGCTCCTCGATGATCCTCGCCGAGGGAAAAACGCACACGTCCGAGCGATGCCAAGTCCTTGCAATCATTCACGAACCGTGCTCCCGCCTCAACGAACGGTTAAATGTTTGGGCCGGACGGCCACGATCCGTGGACAAGAAGCGAACATGAGCTTCGCATGGCCGTGCTCGCACCCCATTCCCAGCTGCACTGTTTTTCCTTCTCGGGACTTCGCAGCCGGTACTTCCCCCACTCCTCGACGCGCCTCCACCCATGCTTTGCAAGGGCACCGCGCGAGAAACAGAGCGCCCGCAGGGACAAATGCAAGACAAAGCGCCCGCACGCCTCTATCCAGTACGATTTGACACAGATGCAGGGACGGTCCGCACTGGTCGGGCCCGAATGGGGTGACTTCACATGGGAGGTGAACGATTAGACAGGGCAAAATCGTATGTCAAGCGCGGGCTCGGCAACCCGACGTCTGTAAAGTTTGCAACACCTGCAAGAGTCATACGGTTGAAGTCCCGATAATGGTGATCTGGGACGACTTAGGACTGCGAGGACGTAACAGTCAAGCTGATTCGCGGTGTTGAAGTCGCGAGAAAGGTGTTCCGGCACGCATTAAGATTACCAGGACGCAACACTCAAGTTGATTCGAAGCGTTGAACGCCCAGGAATTGTGTGTTGGGGTAATCGAAGTTTATCAGACGTTTACCTTCCGATGGGGCACTTCCCACACTGAACATAAATTCTTGAAGGAACCTGGCATGAAGGAACTTGGAGGGAGGGTTTGTTCCAACATCGTTGATGCGACTAGGGCTTACACTGGTCCTCCTCATCTTCCACCTACTACTCATCCTGCTTCGGTTGGTGACCCTCATCCTCCACTGTAGTCGTTTCCTGCCTTGCTTCCGCTGACCTCTCACAAGCTGTCTTTATGCAAGTGGCGGCGCCTTTCGAGCGCCTCGCGGACGTGTTCCAAGTCGCAGATCGACCTCTCCCAAATGCCAGTGGGTCACAGGGCACAGGGGCAAGCAGGCAAAGGGAGAGGACGAAGACAATAGGACGAAGATCAGGAGGAGAGGGAGGAGCACGAGCTGGCAGCAGGCGGAGGGAAGGAACCGAGAGGCATCAGGTGAGGGAAAACGAGGCAGCAAAAGAGAAGACGCCAAGGGAGACGGACGCGGCCCTCCCTTCTCCCCTACGCACTCATCGTCGTCGTCGTCGTTCGTCGTCGTCGTCGTTCGTCGCCGTCGTCGTCGTCGTCGTCGTCGTCTTTGTCACCGTCGTCGCCACCGCCGCCGTCCATCGTCAGACGTCGTCGTCGTCGTCCACCGTCAGTCGTCATCGTCGTCGCCGTCGACGTAGTTCGTCGTCGTCGTCGTTGTCGTCGGCGTCGTCGTTCGTCGTTGTCGTCGTGGCCGTCGCCGTCGCCGTCGTCGTCGTTGTCGCCGTCGGCGTCGCCGTCGCCGTGGCCGTGGCCGACGCCGGCGGCGTCGTCTTCGTTCGTCGTTGGCGTCGTCGCCGTCGCCGTCGACGTCGCCGTCGCCGTCGTCGTCGTCGCCGACGCCGTCGTCGTCGTCGTCGTCGTCGTTGTCGTCGTCGTCGGCGTCGCCGTTGCCGTCGCCGTTGCCAGTCATCGTCGTCGTCACGGTTGTCGTCGTCGTCATTCGCCGTCGTCGTCGCCGTCGCCGTCGTCGTCACCAGCGTCGTCGTCGTCGTCAACGCCGGCTGCCGTCGATGGCGTCGTGGTCGTCGTCGTCGGCGTCGGCGTCGTCGCCGTCCGTCGTCCTTCGTCCGTCGTCGTCGTCGTCGTCGTCGTCGTCGTCGTCGTCGTCGTCGTCGTCGTCGTCATCGTTGTCGGTGTCGTCTTCGTTCGTCGTTGGCGTCGTCGCCGTTGCCGTCGCCGTCGCCGTCGCCGTCGTCGTCGTCGTCGCCCGCCGTCCGCCGTCCGCCGACCGTCGTCGTCGTTGTCGTCGTCGTCGTCCTCCTCCTCGTCGTCGTCATCGTCGACGTCGTCGGCGTCGTCGGAGTCGGCGTCGTCGCCAGCGTCGTGTCGTCGTCGTCGGTCGTCGTCGTGCGTCGTCGTCGTCGTCGCCGTCGCCGTCGCCGTCGCCGTCGCCGTCGCCGTCGCCGTCGCCGTCGTCGTCGTCGTCGCCGTCGTCGTCGTCGTCGTCGTCGTCGTCGTCGTCGTCGTCGTCGTCGTCGTCGTCGTCGTCGTTGTCATCGTCGTCGGCGTCGCCGTCGCCGTCGTCTTTGTCATTCGTCATCGTCGTCGTGGTTGTGGTCGTCGTCGTCGTCATCGTCATCGTCATTTGTCGTCGTCGTCGCCGTCGCCGTCGTCGTCATTCGTCGTCGTCGTCGTCGCCGTCGCCGTCACCAGCGTCGTCGTCGTCGTCGGCGTCGATGTCGTCGCCGTCCGTCCTCCGTCATCGTCGTCGTCGTCATCGTCGTCGGCGTCGTCGTCGGTCGTCGTTGTCGTCGTCGCCGTCACCGTCGCCGTCGCCGTCGTCCTCGTCGTCGTCGTCGTCGTCCGCCGTCCACCGTCTGCCGTCCGTCGTCATCGTCGTCGTCGTCGCCCTCCTCCTCGTCGTCGTCGTCGGCGTCGGCGTCGGCGTCGGCGTCGGCGTCGGCGTCGGCGTCGTCGTCGTCGTCGTTCGTCGTTGGCAGCGTCGGCGACGGCGGCGGCATCGTCGTCGTTGTCACCATCGTCTGCAATTCGTCTTCCAAGTCGTCGTCACCGTCGTCGTCGTCATCGCGGTCGTCGTCGTCGGCGTCGTCGTTCGTCGTTGTCGTCGTCGCTGTCGCCGTCGCCGTCGTCGTCGTTGTCGTCGTCGCCAGGGCCGTCGCCGTCGCCGACGCCGCCGTCTTCTTCGGCGTCGTCGTTTGCCGTCCGCTGTCCGTCGTCGTCGTCGTTGTCGTCTTCGTCTGTCATCTGTCATCTGTCGTCCGTCATCGTCCTCGTCGTCGGCGTCGTCGTCGCCTTTGCGTCGTCGTCTGCCATCCGTCGCCCGTCGTTGTCGTCGTCGTCGTTGTCGTCGTCGTGGGCGTCGCCGTCGCCGTCGTCGTTGTCATTCATCGTCGTCGTCTTGGTTGTGGTCGTCGTCGTCATCGTCATTCGTCGTCGTCGTCGCCGTCGCCGTCGTCGACATTCGTCGTCGTCGCCGTCGCCGTCGCCGTCACCAGCGTCGTCGTCGCCGGCGTCGGCGTCGGCGCCATCCGTCGTCCGTCGTCGTCGTCGTCATCGTCGTCGGCGTCGTCGTCGTCGTCGACATTCGTCGTCGTCGCCGTCGCCGTCGCCGTCGCCGTCGTCCTCGTCGTCGTCCGCCGTCCGCCGTCCGTCGTCGTCGCCGTCGGCGTCGTCGTCTTCCTACTTGTCATGGTCGTCGTCGACGTCGACGTCGTCGGCGTCGTCGTCGGCGTCGGCGTCGGCGTCGGCGTCGTCCGTCGTCGTCAACTTGGTCGGCGTCGGCGTCGGCGTCGTCGTCGTTGCCGCCGTCGCCTGCAATTCGTCGTCCTTGTCGTCGTCGTCGCCGCCGTCGTCGTCGTCAACTTGGTCGTCGTCGTCGGCGACGTCGTCCGCCGTCCGCCGTCCGTCGTCGTCGTCGTCGTCGTCTTCCTACTCGTCATCGTCGTCGTCGACGTCGACGTCGTCGGCGTCGTCGTCCGCCATCCGCCGTCCGTCGTCCGCCGTCCGTCGTCGTCGTCGTCGTCGTCGTCGTCGTCGTCGCCGTTGTCGTCGTCGTCGTCGTCGTCGTCGTCGTCGCCGTCGTCGTCGTCGTCGTCGATCGTCGTCCTCGGCCCCTGGCGGCGGCCCGTGCCTCTCGAGCGCCCGGTTCTTGGAGTGGAGGGACCTCGGGAGGCGCCCGCCCTCACGCCTCCGTCCCAGTCCTTCCTCCCCTGTCCTCCTCCTCCTCCTCCTCCTCCTCCTCCTCCTCCTGCTCCTCCTCCCCTTTCCTCCTCCTCCTCCTCCTCCTCCTCCCTCCTCCTCGTCCTCCTCCTCCTCCTCCTCCGTCCTCCTCCTCCTCCTCCTCTCCTCTTCCTCCTCCTCCTCCTCCTCCTCCGTCCTCCTTCATCCATCCCCATCCGCCCTCCTCTGTCCTCCCCCGTTCCCTTCCATCACCCAGCCTCCATCGACACACTTCCTTCGCGACCCCCGACCGCGCTCGCAGCAGCTGGTGGGTGCTGGGACCCCTCTCGCCTTCTGCGAAGCGATCGTCGAGGCCCCCCGACGCAGCAAGCCCAAGATGCGCTCGTGTGCATGGCCAAGTCCCTGCGCTCTGGGCCCGGCAGGCGGAGAAGTATCCAAAATACAAGCCTGGGGTATGGGGGTGCGTGGACGCTCCCCCCTCCCTCCCCCCTCCCCGCCCGCCCGAGCGCAGCGGCGAAATCGCGCGGCAGCGCAACTGGATCACCCTCGTTATCATCCTCCCCACCATCGCCGTGATGTCCGACGTCCTCTTGCCATCACTCCTGCCGACGGGCGGCCACGGAGATACCGGGACAAGGCGGGCCACCGCGCGGCCTCAAGCGACCAAGAGATGCCCCGGCCCGGCAGGGCGAGAAAGCTGCAGATCAATACCCCTTTCGCGCAGACTCCGCTGCACTCCTTGCTGCTGATGTCTCGGGCTGCTGAATTCGGCCCCCCCCCCCCGTCCACCCCGACCGACGGCCCGCGCTGGCCACCCCGCGCACACGGCACCCGGCCCCTTAAGCGGTCCAATCCCCTCACGCACCGCGCAGGACAACCAATTCCTACCCCCCACTGGGGGGCCCAGATGCGAACCCTACCCCTGCCCCCCACGATTTCTGAGGGGTAGGGGTAGGGTTCGCATCTGGCCCCCTATTCCCACCCCCCACACGAGCCCCCCCCTCCCCCGCCGCTTCTTGAGCAACCTGGAGCAGACTTGTCCCGCCGCTCCAGGAGTGGAGGGTGCGAGCAGCTGCGAGCCCCAGGGCGGCCCCACGCAGTTGCGGGGGCCCCGGGGCGGGCCGCAGCGCCGCCGCGCACGCGGGCTCGCTATTTGGCCCCCTAAGAAGCTTACCCGATAAGATCTCTCCGAGCGCCCGCGTCGCCCCCTCGCAGGGGCCGCGGCGCGCGCGGTTTTGGGAATGGGTGTTGACCCCTTGTCCCCAGCTGGTGAATGTTGACGGCACCATCCTCTCCCCGTCGGTGGGAGCCAGAATTCATGTCGCGGGGGGCTGGCTACATTCCGCTCGACTCCTTAACTATCACACTGTCTTAAAAATCTGGTTGTGGCCGGTGTGGGGGGTTGCTGACAAGCAGCTTCGGAAGCCGTGCTCCCCCATCACCCCCACTGGCAAAGTGTTTTTAGATCGCATCAGAAACGGGTTAGCTCCCAAGGTCGTGAGCAAGGCCGAACTTGACAGGCGGCAGGCTCGGTCCTCTCTTTAATGTGGTCACTCTACCTGGCATCGCCATGGGTTCCACTCCACTCCTCCTCCTCCCCCTCCTCCTCCTCCTCCTCCTCCTCCTCCTCCTCCTCCTCCTCCTCCTCCTCCTCCTCCTCCTCTCTACCTCCTCCTCAAGATCCTTCTACCCTCCTCCTCAATATCCTCCTCCTCCTCCTCCTTGTCCTCCTCCTCCTCCCTCCTCCTCCTCCTCCTCCTGCTCCTGCTCCTGTTCCTTCCCCCCTCCTCTTCCTCCTCCTCCTCTCCTCCTCCCTCCTCATCATCATCATCATCATCATCATCAGCATCATCATCATCATCATCAGCATCATCAGCATCATCATCATCATCATCATCATCATCATCATCATCATCATCATCATCATCCACCGCCTCCGCCTCCTCCTCCTCCTGCTCCTCCTCCTCCTCTTCTTCATCCCCTTGCTGCTCCTCCTCCTCTGCGTATGGTCGCTCGTACTGGTAGCGTTATTATGTTTATCCCGGGTGTTCCTAGTATGCGTATCGTGCTAGAAGTATGGTTGCATCTTCGTAGTATTGTTATAGTAAATACGGATGTCGGCCTTAAGATGTGTGCCATAAGTGCCACTATTGAAACAGTAATGTTTTCATGATGGTAATACTACGAAATAGGAATAATGACAACGCCACCAGCAGCAACAACCATGAACATGCGAATAGTACTGGGAAAACTCACATCAGTAATCCGGCTATGAACACATATAACATTATTAGTCGTACGCGCGGTACTATTGATGATATTACTCTCAGGTGTAGTAACCGTCTTCGAAGATACAAATAATCATCGTAATAAATTTCTTCGTCGTATTATGTATGTCATTCATGTTCGTCTGCTTCTTCCTCATCCACCTCCCTTTCCTCCAGCTCCTCGTCCTCCTCCTGCTCCTCCTCTTCCTCCTCCCTCTCCTCGTGTTCTACCTCTCTTCCTCCTCATCAATATCCTCCTCCTCCTCCTCCACCTCCTCCTCCTCCTCCGCCTCCTCCTCCTCGTCCTCCTCCTCCCCCTCATCGTGCTCCTCCTCCTCCTCCTCCTCCTCCTCATCCTCCCCTCCCACCCGCTGCCTCCCCCCCCTCCCTCCCTCCCTCTCTCCCTCCCTCCCTCTCTCCCTCCCTTCCCTCCCAGCTCCTCCTCCTTCCTCCTCCTCCTGTACGCTCCTCCTCCTCCTTCTACTCCTTTTTTCCATCATTCTATCCTCCTCCTCCTCTCCTCCTTCCTCATCATCCTCCTCCCGCACTCCGCTCCGCCACCTCCTTCTCCCTCCGTCTCCCCCTTCTCCTCATCCACTTCCATCCCTTCCCTCCTCCTCCACCTCCTCCTCCTCCGCATCAACATCATCATCATCATCATCACAATCCACATCATCATCAACACATTGCTATCCACATCATCATCATCATCATCATCCTCAGCAATCAAGCATCATCATCATCATCATCATCATCATCATCATCATCATCAGCATCAGCATCAGCAACAGCAATCACATCAAGCATCATCATCCATCATCATCATCATCATCATCATCATCATCATCATCATCATCAGCATCAGCATCAGCATCAGCATCAGCATCATCATCATCAGCAGCAGCAGCATCCTAATCATCATCAGCGTCATCAGCATCAGCATCATTAGCATCAGCATCAACATCATTATCATCAGCAGCAGCATCATCATCCTCATCCTCGTCCTCATCCTCATCAGCAGCATCATCATCATCATCATCATCATCAGCAGCAGCAGCAGCATCGTCAGCATCAGCATCTTCGTCATCATCAGCAGCATCATCAGCAGCATCATCGTCATCATCAGCGTCATCGTCATCATCATCAGCAGCATTATCATCATCAGCATCATCATCATGTTCCTCCTCCTCCTCCTCCTGCTCCTCCTCCTCCTGCTCCTCTTCTTCCTCCTCCTCCTCCTCCTCCTCCTCCTCCTCCTCCCCTCGTCCCTCCTTCCTCTGGCAGCCATAGCTGGGACAGCCAGATCTTGACCCCACCGCCGGGATCCGTTCCGCAACGCGGGGCCGTTCACCGCTCGGGAGCCCGGCCAGCCGCCCAGATCCAGGTCGACGGACGGATCAGCGATCTGATATCTGATCCCCGCCTGATATATATATATATATATATATATATATACATATATATGAAGGGGCCCAAGGACACAAAAATAAATACACACAAATGAAAGGATTCCCCAGATTGTCCTATATTTTCTCGGCTTTTGTCTTCCCCCCCAACTCCCCATATGTTCCCATATTTGCGGGGGATCGACGATTCATTGTGTCTGTGTGTTTTCTCCCCTCCTGAATATACAAGATGGGGCAGGGTCATGATTGGCCCCCCGACGCCTCCTGGGCGTCACGATGCCTGTTGTTTCAGGACGGCCCGGGCCACGGCGAGGAGGGAGGACCCCGGTGGCCGAGACGGTCCCGGCCGATGCGTCGACGGCGGATCGATCGCGGGGACCCCCAGGCGGCCGAAACGAGCCCAACAGCCAAGACGGCGACAACGGATCCATCGACGGAACGGCGGCGATCAGGTGAAGCCCCCTCTCGACGGGGCCTGTGAGATGGGGCCCATCAGAGAAGGCCACCGGCCGGCGGACCGGGACTCTCTTCTGAGGGGGGGGCTCCGCGACCGAGTTGAGCTGCTCGTTGTGGTTCCTGGACGGGGAGGGGGTTCGCGCTGGCCAGCCCAGCGCCCCCCTCTGCTTTCCGACTCTGGCATGGAGAAGTATGTGATTGCTCGCAGCCCAGCTTCAGCGATGCTCGTCGCATCGCTCTGACGACACACATTCGCCTGCCGACTGCCGCCCTGGCATCCATCTGCTCACGGGCTGCCGATGAGGACGGGGACGACGGGGAGAGCTAGGAAATCATGCGAGAGTGCCAGAGACTGGAGCTGGAGAGGTACGGGGTGGGGGCAGAGAACAGCAGGGACCACGAAGCGGGCACGGGGGGGGGTGGCAGCCGGGGTCCTGAACTTCGTGTTCTCCTCCTTGAAGTAGCAGAGCTCGGCCTGCGTTCCCCCCCCCGGCCACTCTCGGCTACACGCCAGAGTGACCCTGGGTAGGAGTGACCTCTGGTGCGCGGCTTTGGGGGGGCCGCGGGGGGACCAAACACGAGCGCGCAGGACTCTACCACCGCATCGCGCTCGGCGATCGGGGGACCCCATTGGGTTCAACACCTTCAGGTCACTCCGGCGAAAGGTCACTCTTATCGGGAGCGGCCAAGAGGGCGGTGTCCAAGAGGGGGGGGTGCAAATCATGACCGGCGGCATGTGCGCGGCCCAGCAGGGGGGCCAGGGACGTAATGGAAGAAGAAGAGGCGCCATGAAATCTGAGGAAATATCATGGCCCCCGCCATGATATCCACCCCCCCCTAGTCATCACCCCCCTCTTTGCCGCTCCCGATCGTACATCCAGCCGACACCCTGCCTGCCCGCACCACCCCGGGGGGCAGCCCGGCCGGGCTCGGCCCGGCCCGGCCCGGCGCGGGCGCACGTCGGGCGCGCGGCCGGCGAGGGCCCCCCGGCCCGCCCGCACGCCGCCGCGGGCCGGCCAGGCCCGGCCGGGCGCCCCAGCGCGGCCGCCCCCCCCCAGACCCCCTCGAGTCAAGAAAAAATCACGACGGGGGGTTTTGCCATGCTTTCGGCCTCCAGGGCCCTTGCCGGCCCTCGGGGCCGTCCAAAAACGACTCGGGGTGAAAAGCCGGTCCCGGCGAATAGGTCCAGACCTCAGGGGGTCGCGTCATGAAAAAATCATGACGTCGGGGGTCTGGGCCTCGAGCATCGTTGGACCTCAGCTGCCCCGAGACGCCGCACGCCACACGTGGCGTGCTGGTGCGGAGCGCAGCACGTGGGCCGGAGACGCAGGTCCGGCGCGAGGCGCTGGCCAAGACGCGCGGGCCAGTACGAGGAGCCAGCACGCAACGTGTTGACACGGACGCCTCGAACACGGGACGTGCTGCGTTTCCATACGGGCGTATGGAGACAACTAAGCGTTTGACCGATCCCCACCCCCAGAGAAGGAGGAGGAGGAGGAAGAGGTGGAGGGGGAAGGGGGAGGAGGAGGAGGCGGAGGTGAGGGAGGAGGAGGAACAGGATGGGGAGGAAGGAGGAGGAGGAGGAGGAGGCGGAATGAAAGGAGGAAAAAGAGAGTAGGAAACTGAGGAGGAGGAAGGAGGCAGGTAGAGGAGGAAACCGAGGCGGAGGCGGGAGCGGGAGGAGGAGGCTGTGGTGAGGGGGTACTACGAAGGGGAATGGGGGTGGGGATCGGTCAGACGATGCTGGCCCCTCACTGGCTGCCTGCCTCCGCCCGCAGGCACGCCCCGCCTGCTGCCCACTGCCCCCGGCGCAGCCCCAGGGCAACCGCCGGTCCGCGCGCGGCGACCTTCGCTAGAGCGAGGCGCGGAGCTGCCGCCTGGCCTCCAGGCTGGCGGCTGCTGTGCCCACGGAGGGCCGCACCGCCAGCCCTGAGGCCAGCCTTGCAGCGTAGAGCCGTCCAGTGCTCGTAGCTGGACGGCACTGGTTGAGAAGGAGGATGAGGAGGAGGAGGAGGAGGAGGAGGAGGAGGAGGAGGAGGAGGAGGAGGAGGAGTGGGAGGGCGTGGGTGTGAAAGTCGGGGGCTAGTCACGTGTCCCCGACTCGGTTTGCAGCGCAGCCATGGGCATTCTGACTCGGGAGTGGGTTTTCCGCCGAGCTTGCATGTGCGTGGCCCCTCTGCATCTCATTTCACTTCAGCCCACGCTCCATCTCATTGAACGCATGCGGGCCCTGCCACTGGAGCATTCGGTGGAGCCCTCCATGAAGCAACGATCCTCGTGAGGCGTGTGCCGAAACGGGCGGGGGGACGCACGCGGACCTTGCCACTGAGGCCTACTGTGGAGCTCCCTGCGGGACCACGATCCTGGTGAAAGGGTGTGCCAAAGTGGGCGGGGGGGCGCATGCGGACGCTGCCATTGGTGCCGTCGACGGAGCTCCCTATGTGGCCACGATCCTCGTGAGGGGTGTGCCGAAATGGGCGGGGGGACGCAGGCGGATCCTGCCGCTGAGGCCTGCGGAGGAGCTCCCTGCGGGACCACGATCCTGGTGAAAGGGTGTGCCAAAGCGAGCGGCGGGGCACATGCGGACCGTGCCTCTGGCGCCTTCGATAGAGCCCCCATATGAGGGGTGTGTCGACATGGGGATGCGGAGGGCGGAAGCAAGGATGGGAGGAGGGGGGAGGGAGGCGGAAAGGGAAGGGAGGAAACGCGGGGCGCTGTCTCTACAAAAGGGGACCCAGCACCACAGGATGGCTGAGAAACAATGTTCCTCCAGGACCCCGTATCCTCTTTATTCCCTACCTAGGCTCTGCCTAGAGGGTTCTTACTTTCTTAGCTTAAAGGGGCCGGGCAGTGGAAAGCGCCCCGGGCGGTTCCCCCAGTCCCAGCCCCGCGGTTCCCCCAGTTGCGCCCCCTGGGTTCCCCTAGCTTAGCTTAGCTTAGCTTAGCTTAGCTTAGCTTAGCCTAGCTTGCCTTACCTGAGCTTAGCTTAGCCTAGCTTAGCTTAGCTTAGCATAGCATAGCTTATCTCATCTTAGCTTAGCTTAGTCTAGCCTAGCCTAGCTTAGCTTAGCTTACCTTACCTTAGCTGACCTTAGCTTAGCTTAGCCCAGCTTATCTTAGCTAAAGTATCCCAGTGCGACCCTACCTAGGAGTTGGAGCCCCTAGGAAAGCAGCATTAGTAGTAACAGTAAAGCTAAGCTAAAGCTAAGCTACAGCTAAGCTACAGCTAAGCTAGAGCTAAGCTAAGGCTAAGCTAAAGCTAAGCAAAAGCTAAGCTAAATCTAAGCTAAAGCTAAGCTAAAGCTAAGCTAAAGCTAAGCTAAAGCTAGGCTAAAGCTAAGCTAAAGCTAAGCTAAAGCTAAGCTAAAGCTAAGCTACAGCTGAGCTACAGCTGAGCTACAGCTAAGCTAAAGCTAAGTTAAAGCTAAGCTAAAGCTAAGCTAAAGCGAAAGCTAAAGGTAAAACTAAGCTGAAGCTAAGCTAAAACTAAGCTAAAGCTAAGCTAACGCTAAGCTAACGCTAAGCTGGAGCTAAGCTAAATCTAAGCCAACGCTAAACTAAAGCTAAGCTAAAGCTAGCTAAAGCTAAGCTAAAGCTAAGCTAAAGCTAAGCTAAAGCTAAGCTAAAGCTCAGCTAAAGCTAAGCTAAAGCTAAGCTAAAGCTAAGCTGAAGCTAAGCTAAAGCTAAAGCTAAAGCTAAAGCTAAAGCTAAAGCTCCCAGGGGACTGGGGGAACCGCGGGGCGGGGACTGGGGGAACCGCCCGGGGCGATTTCCACTGCCCGGCCCATTTAAGCTAAGAGAGTAAGAACCCGTCTAGGCAAAGCCTAGGTAGGGAACTTTGCGAATCTCATCTCAGCTTAGTTAAGCTAAGCCTTAGTTTAGCTTAGCTTAGTTTAGCTTAGCCTAGCCTAGCTTAGCTTAGCTTAGCTTAGCGTAGATTGGCTTAGCCTAGCTTAACTTAGCTTAGCTTATCGCATAGTAGCTTAGCTTAGCTTAGCTTAGCTTACCGCAGTTTAGCCTAGTTTAAGCTAAAGCTAAGTTAAAGCTAAGCTAAAGCTAAGCTAAAGCGAAAGCTAAAGGTAAAACTAAGCTGAAGCTAAGCTAAAACTAAGCTAAAGCTAAGCTAACGCTAAGCTAACGCTAAGCTGGAGCTAAGCTAAATCTAAGCCAACGCTAAACTAAAGCTAAGCTAAAGCTAGCTAAAGCTAAGCTAAAGCTAAGCTAAAGCTAAGCTAAAGCTAAGCTAAAGCTCAGCTAAAGCTAAGCTAAAGCTAAGCTAAAGCTAAGCTGAAGCTAAGCTAAAGCTAAAGCTAAAGCTAAAGCTAAAGCTAAAGCTCCCAGGGGACTGGGGGAACCGCGGGGCGGGGACTGGGGGAACCGCCCGGGGCGATTTCCACTGCCCGGCCCATTTAAGCTAAGAGAGTAAGAACCCGTCTAGGCAAAGCCTAGGTAGGGAACTTTGCGAATCTCATCTCAGCTTAGTTAAGCTAAGCCTTAGTTTAGCTTAGCTTAGTTTAGCTTAGCCTAGCCTAGCTTAGCTTAGCTTAGCTTAGCGTAGATTGGCTTAGCCTAGCTTAACTTAGCTTAGCTTATCGCATAGTAGCTTAGCTTAGCTTAGCTTAGCTTACCGCAGTTTAGCCTAGTTTAGCCTAGCTTAGCTTAGCCTAGCCTAGCTTAGCTTAGCTTAGCTTCTCTCAGTTTAGCTTAGCTTTAGCTCAGCTTAGCTTAGCTTAGCTTAGCTATATTAGCTTAGCTTAGCTTAGCTTAGCTTAGCTTAGCTTAGCCTAGCTTATGCTGCTTTCCTAAGGGCTCCAACTCCTAGGTAGGGTCGCGCTGGGATAATTTGTTGCAATCCTCCTCCTCCTCCTCCTCCTCCTCCTCCTCTTCCTCCTCTTCCTCCTTCTCCTCCTGCTCCTCATCATCCTCCTCCTCCACGTTATACCTCCTCCCTCCTCTTCCACTCACGTGGATCCCCCTCATCCACTCGGCTCCCAGCAGGGGGCCTGCAGTGGCTTCAGGGAGTACACACGCGCGGCCGCCACGGCGGCGGCGGCGGACATCGGCAGGAGCTGCGGCGCGGCCGGGGTGCCCGTCCTCCGTTCTCCTACTCCTCCTCCTCCTCCTCCTCCTCCTCCTCCTCCTCCTCCTCCTCCTCCTCCTCCTCCTCCTCCTCCTCCTCCAGTTGGCATTTTGGCTCACGCGCCGCCGCCGCTGGGTCGCCCCGCCGACCCGCCGCCTCGCCGATGCCGCCGACGACCGACGCCCGCTCCGCGAAGGCGACGCTGGACGCTGCGCGCGGCGCAGTGCTGGCGACGCACGCGGCGGCTGGGCTTGCGAGCGGCCAGCGGGAGGCGGTACGCCTCATCCGCGCCGCCGAAGGCCTGCTGCGCACGGCGGTGGCTGTGCTCGCCACGCCCTCCTCCCCCGCGCTCGTCGCGGCGCCCCTGGCGGATCCAGCGGCTTCCTCGCGCAGGAGGCGGCGGCCCCGCGGCCGCGGCGGCTCGAAGGGCGGGGACGAGAACGGCAAGCACTACATCGTCGCTGACGGCATGGACATCGACAAGGGGTCGGCGGGCGAGGTGGCCACGGGGGCTGGCGCCCCGCCTCAGCCGATGCTGGAGGACGACGCTTGGGCCGACGAGCTGCCCGTGGTGATGCAGGCTCGTGGCCCGCCTGCCAGCACAGACCAGCGCGAGGGCAAGGGCAAGAACGCGGGCAAGGGCGGCGAGAGCGGCGGCAAGGGCAAGCTTGGCCACCTCGAGGTGTGGCAGCTGAGGAACCTCGTCGTCCGCCTGCGGGAGCGCGCTGGGCTGCCTCCCGCTCCCGAGACGGCCCCCTTCGACCACGGCGTGCTGGTCGCAATGGCCGTCGAGCTCGAGGAGTTGGCGGCCTCGTCCGACGGCACGCGTGGCGGGGGCTCCGGAGCGGCTGGTGGCCGTCGAGCGCGTGGTGGTCCACGTGGTGATGGTCCAAGGCCCGGGGCGGCCGGCCGCGGGAGGAGCAGCGGGGGGGGGTGGTAGGCGGCCTCGCCGCTTCGCGTGCAGGGCCCTCGCCCCTTCCCCCTCCCGCGGACATGGACGGCATTGAGAAGTCCGTCCACGTGTGAGCTCGACTGCATCGAGTTCGCGGTCGGGGGGTCCTGGCACCTCAGGTGGTGTACCAGGCCCCCCGTGCGAGGCGGCCGAAGCGCCTCGATCGGGAGTGGCGGCACCGCCTCTCCTGTGGCTCGCGGATCCTCCTCCTCCTCCTCCTCCTCCTCCTCTTTCTCCTCCTCCTCCTCCTCCTCCTCCTCCTCCTCCTCCTCCTCCTCCTTCTCATCTTCATGCTCATCCTCGGTATCATCCTCCTCTTTCCTCCTGCTCCTCATCGATCATCCGTCCTCATCCCTCACCCCTCAACCCCCATCCCTCCTCCGCAAGGTCCTTGTCCTCATCCTCCTCTCACCGTCAGCCCCAAGGACATGGAAGAACTAGGACAAGCAGCGTCGTAGTCAAGTCGATTCCGATCCCTTTCTCCCCTCCCCGCTGGGGGCGGGGGGGCGGGAGTGCGGGGACACCAGCTGGGAGTGGGGGGGGCGACCAGATTTAGGACACCGCCTCCCCACTGGGGTCCCGGCGGATCCCGGGAGGGGTCGCCAGCGGGAATCCCGGGAGAGGTCCCGCCCTGGGGGTCGGCGGCACCGCCCGCGAGGCCTTTGCAGCACACCACTTCGCAGAGCGTTCTAGGAAACGAGAATAGTGATGGCTTCTCCCTCGGCTGGAAAGCTTGAACTGAAGACGAGGTCCCGCGTTCTCAAGTGACCACAAGAAATACAAGCGTCCACTCTTCCGCCGGCTCAAGGCCATGCTAACGGACACAAGCTTGTATGAGGGAAACTTCCCGATGTGCTTCAAAGGGAGGCCTTTTAACAACGGCGCATATACATACAACCGTATGTTACCATGAATGTGCCCGCGCGGCATCACAGTGATGCTCGAACATAGAGGCAGTGTTGCCGCTCTGTCACCATAAACAAATCTGGGAATCCTGATGCAACAGGAAAGCCGACACCTTACAAACGATGTTAAACAAGTGGCACGCGTGCCATGGCTCTTGCATAAAAGGGAGGGGGGAAGAGGAGGAGGAGGAAGAGGAGGAGGAGGAGGAGGAGGAGGGGGAGCACGGGGACGAGGAGGGGGACGACGACGACGAGGAGGAGGAGGAGGAGGAGGAGGAGGAGGAGGAGGAGGAGGAGGAGGAGGAGGAGAGGAGGAGGAGGAAGATGAGGAGGAGGAGGAGGGGCGGAGGGAGGAGGAGGAGGTAGGAGGAGGAGGAGGAGGAGGAGAGTAGGAGGAGGAGGAGGAGGAGCTCTTGAGCTGGGACAGAAGACACACGCGGCGCGCACTCGCCACGGCACCCGCGCCGCGCCGTGCCCCGGAGATCGATGGCCCCTGCGGCAGCCCTGGGGCCGGCCCGCGGCCCCGCCTCTGGTCTCGCTCTGCGCTGCTGCCTTGGAGGGCGCAGCTGTGCTCGATTCCTCCTACCCCCTGGCCCCTCACTGGTGAGAGGAGGATGAGGAGGATGAGGAGGATCAGGAGGAACAGGAGAGGAGGAGGGATCAGGAGGAGGAGCAGAGGACGAGGGACAGGGGAATCAGGAGAGGAGGAGGAGGAGGAGGAGGAGAGGAGGAGGAGGAGAGAGGGAGGGGGAATCAGGAGGAGGAGGGGGAGGAGGAGGAGGAGGAGGAGGAGGAGGAGAAGGGGAGGAGGATCAGGAGGAGGAGGAGGAGGAGAAGGAGGAGGAGAAGGAGGTGGAAGAGGAGGAGGAGGAGGAGAAGGAGGTGGAGGAGGAGGAGGAGGAGAAGGAGGTGGAGGAGGTGGAGGAGGAGAAGGAGGAGGAGGCGCCCTGCCCCAAAAATGGGGCTGCGGACCGCTCGGTCCTCCGTCCTTGAACGGCACAAACGTGCGCCAACAGAGGCGGGCGGCGTCGGCCGTCCTGGCCCCTCCGTGGGGCACCACAGCCGGTGCCCCTCCCCGCCTGGACGGGCCCCCGAGGCATGACGCAGGGTGCCCCGCCTGGACGCACAGGGGCACGCTTCGTGAGGAAGATTAGAGGGCCACATGCGAACCCTACCCCTACCCCCCACGATTTTTGAGGGGGAGGGTGGGGGTCACTTCGTTCGGGAGCTCCCGAGCGAAGTGAACCCCACCCTCCCCCTCAGAAATCGTGGGGGGTAGGGGTAGGGTTCGCATGTGGCCCCCAGAAGATCCTGGAGGCCTCGCGACGCAGCTTGAGACCCGATTTGCGTCAGATCCACGTCGGATTTACGCCGAGTTCACGTCGGGCTGCGTCGGAGTTGCGTCCGATTTACGTCGGACCGACTCCCGAGCATCGCCGCGCGAGCGTCGAACCACAGCTTACGGAGCTGACGTGTGGACTACATAGTACTACCATTGCGCGCCGCGCGAGGCCTCCGGTAGTTTACCCATGACGCGCTGCTATCCCCCCCCCCTTACGCATGCCGACCCACACCCGCCGCCTTGTGCAAAGAGGATCCTGTGTCACGGGTGCAGCAGTGCGGCCTGCGTCGTGCGCAGGCGCGGCACGAGCGGTGCGCACAACCAATGCTGCAGCCACATGCGAGGCGTCCCTGGCGGGCGTGGCACTGCCAGGGCCGCGTCGGGCGAAACCATTGCCTCTCGGGTCGCGCCGCCGCCGGGTCAGACCAGCACGAGGGCAACCGATGTTCACAACAGGCACTAGGTTAGGGCTCTGGCAGCTGCCAGTATCTCGCAAGGCGCTCTCTGAAAGTACGGTTGAGCATGGCTGGTGGCCGACGATCACGAGTCGCACGTCTTCGCTCGTCACGGCATTCCCCCACAGTGACTGCCCAAGGAGCGCTCGTTGAATCCATTGAGCATCTGGCTCCCATCTTTAGCAAGCGGCCCGCGTACAGGTCGGGACAGAACTTCTAGAACTGGAGCGACACGTGCGCATAGTATATCGAATGACGCCGCTGATGCTCCAACTTCGGCGCGTGCATTCACACGGGCACAATTTGGCGTGACCCAAGCGAGATTCACATCTCTATTGCATCAGCAAGCCTCGCGCTCAAGCTTCCATCGGTACTGGCCCGTGCGGGAGACAGAATCTGAAGCCTGCGCCCACCTCGTGGAGGTGCACAAGCCAGCATGCTACAACGAGCACCATCGAACGTCGTCTCATATGGTGTCTGGCTGTTCTTGTCATGCTAGGGGGGCAAACAAACCTACCTCGCTTTTGACCACCCTCGCTTCCAAGAGATACCAAGCGATGCCAAACTACGGCCTGTACTGGTCAGGCCGCTTGACGAGGAGGCGCGTGGTATGACTTGGTTTTGCCTGGAAGCGAAAGCGGGGTAGGTAATTCACGCTCTGACATGCTGTCGCAGGCATGGAAAGGGGCCGAGAGAGAGAGAGAGAGATAAAGAGACGGAGGAGGGTGCAGAGAGCGGACGGCGAGCAACAGGGGGGCGACGAGAAAGGGCACGAGGGGATCCTGGAAGTACGTAAAGGGCGCCGAGAGGACGTACGAGATCCAGCACCACAGCACCGCCAGACCCTCGGCGGGAGGGTCCGTCCTTTCCTCCTCCTCCTCCTCCTCCTCCTCCTCCTCCTCCGCCTCCTCCTCCTCCTCCTTCTCCTCCTCCTGCCTCTCCTCCTCCTCCTCCTCCTCCTCCTCCTCCTCCTCGTCCTCCTCCTCCTCCTCCTCCTCCTCCTCCTCCTCATCCTCCTTCTCCTCCTCCCCAAAACCCTCGCCTGTCGGGTCACTCGCCTGTGCAGCCAGCCCAGGGACCATCGAGCATTCGATCATCAGTGCGCCCCTTTAAGTGGCACACTGCAGATCTCGCAGGGGCGACCGGTAGGTGAATATTCCCCCCCACGGTCTCGACCCCGGGGAAATAAAAGACCAGCGTGTCCAAACCAACACCCCATCCTACGCACAATGTTCAAGATCGTACAAAGAGGGCGTGTGACGGAAGACTTCGCAAGGACCCGTTCAAAGCGCTTCGGTAGAAGGGGTCTGCTCCACCACCCCTGGCTTAGCCTCATGGAAGCCTCGGGGCCCTCCGCCGGCCCTTCTGCGTGTTCTGGGTGTTCCCAGGCTGCCCCGTGAAAGCTTGCTGGGGACTCTCGGGGGCCAGTCGGAAGCCCCTGACGGCCCCTGGAAGCTCCCCAGGGGCCCCGCCAAGGCCCCATGGGGACTCGACATAACGCCCTGAAGGCCTCACAGGCACCTTGCAAACCCATGAAAACCCACAGAGACCGTTGCCGCCCAAGCGTAAGCCCCGCCCAATAAGCATGGCCAATTCTGATGGGACACCGGTCGATGTAGCGAGACATGTGGATGAGGCGTTTTCGCTACCAGGACTCGCACAAGGCTCTGATGCCTCAAATGGGCCGAAGTTTCTGCTCGACCCCAGAGGGGTACGGATGAGGTCATGCATGGAGATATGTGCAACAAAAATAGATCACGCGCTCCTGCCCCAAGTTTCGGGGAAAGCTGAAGAATTGACAAACTTCGACACGAAAGCCTGGTTTTCCACCGTTGCGCCGCTCATCGCCTCAAGTCGGAATTTCGAAATGTATCGCCAGCCTTTTCTACTATTCTGGCCGGACTTCCGTACAATTTCCGGAAACATGAACAAAACCATCGTATTGTACAAATGTATCGCATGACGCCGCGAAGCAATCCGCGTACAAAAAGCAAAAAAAACGTTGCTCGCGTGCTGGTGGCGCCCTTGTCGCTGCAACTCCTGCAGAGCGTACGGAATGCAGCGACACGGGCGACACCTGCGCGCGGACGCATGATCCAGATGGCCCATGACGCCAGCATGGGCCGCATGGGGCGCGGGAGCCGCAGAGTCCTGCTGGAAACCAACATCGGCCCCGCGCCGACTAGCCGAGCAGCCCGGGGAGTGCAGAGCCGACCAGACAGACAAACCAACTAACCAACCAATCAACCAACGAACCAACCAACTAAACGGATCCCCATGTGCGCCTTTATTTTCTGGGCACGCCTATATGTTCTGGGCACGTCCTATATTTTCTGGGCACAAACAGAGAACGAGGAACCACATTCGCACTTGCACACCAAAGAGCCACTTGAAGTTGCTCACATACGGACAGGGGGTACAAGGCGAAAGTCACGCATCCTATAGATGACGAAGTCGTTGCTCGGACTGTCGACACTGCCGAGGACAATTGTGGACAGAAGTTCAAGACTTTTACTAAGAGTTGGACTGGAAGCATGTGATGACTTACATTTGCGCATGGGTACCGTTGAACACAGAACTTCTGATAGGAATCATCGGAATAAGCATGGATGCCGCACTTGTTGCAGAAGATTGGCAGGCATATTGCAAAGGAGTTTTACCACTGGGACAGTTGGAGCGACCAGTCATAACTCAGCGGGGCGAGAATCCAGCAGCATCGGCATTCCCCATTACGATGGACATGCACGGCTACGCCAACAAACTGATCACGGCGGCCATCGTGGCGGCAGAGCGCAGCCGGACGGCTTTCACTCTGAAAAAAATGCTTGGCACGGCGAGGTGGAATGCCCAACATATTCTTCTCTCACCTACAGTGTGAACGTGGGACTTGCACTGTCGAAGGTTACCAAGGCCAAGGTGAGCGACCTGACGGAGACAATTAAGCAAGTGAAAGACATGAGGATGACATCTTCCCATGCAGCTCGGTGTTACGCGTTCTGTTGCAGTTCCTCGCAAGAAATGGATTGCTCAACGATGTGATGCGAGCGAGGATACATGAGATGGCTGGTATAAGACAGAAGTATCTTGACACGAGCTGCTCAGTCAGTTCTCCCTACCAGCCAGATGGCGTGCGTTCTGTTGACTCTTGGCGAGCGTTTAAGTGACCCCGCACGCTGGCATTGCCAGCCATCTCGAGGCCCAGGATTCTGCCTTTCGAGATGAAGGCCTGTGTGGTAGATGGGCAGAAAGGTTCTCGAGATCCCAGGGGTGCCCATCACCGATCTCCACGGAATCTACAACGTACGCCGTCAGTAAACCAGAATAACCTCAGCTCGGTCTTCCGAGCGCTAAGAGTAGCGAGGACGCTCGTGCAGTCGAGAAGTAAAAAAGTCCGTTCTAACGTTTGCTGGATCCCGAACTCAACCAGGATACCAAGCGAGCTACGCATTGGCGACTTACTTGGTTGATGGACGGTGCAAATGCGTTCTTTATGCTACGTTTCAGAGTGGCAGACTCCGCAAGCAGGCAGGTCGACCAGAAGTTATGACGTTCCGTCCGCCAAGAGGCTGTAATGGATAGTGGGGATTCAAGCCCCGACCATTTGGCGATGCTCGAACACAAGCACCCAGGAGTTAGGAAAGCCCGTGCGCTTGGCGACCCCCCACCCCTCTGGATACAACGATGCCGATAGCCGCACACACACACACACACACACACACACACACACACACACACACACACCCACACGCATGCATGCATGCAGGCATACGTACATACAGACGCGCATGTATATAGATACATGCATGAATACACACACACACATACATACATACATACATACATACATACATACATACAGGCAGACAGGCATACATACATACAATCGTTCACACATGCATGGCTAGATACATACGATCACACGGATCTACCTACCTGTATACATGCATGCATGCATGCATACATACATGCATGAATATATGAATACCTGCAACCATGCATACATATCTGCGTGCACTCATACATACGTTCCTGCGCACACACACACAAACAATCATTCCTGTACACATACATGCAGGCATGCATGCATACACACATGCATACGTCCATGCACACATACATTACATGCATACATACATACATCCATACATACATACATAAATACATACACACATACCTACATACAGACTGCATGCATGCATACATACGTGCGAACAGTGATACCTATATGCGTGCATGCATACATGCATGCACGCATACGTGCATACATACATGCATGAATGCATCTATGCACGCATACATACATACATAAATACACACATACCTACGCAAATACATGCATACATGCACGCGTACATTCATCAACACACAGGCATTCACACATACATGCATACATGCATACATACAGACATACATGACCAAATACGTGAATGTATGTATACATACATACATGCAGCGATACACATACATACATGCAAACAACACACGTACATAAAGCATGCGTTCATGCATGCATGCATACATACATACCTGCATATATACATAAACATACATACACACATGCATACATACATATAGACAGGCAGACAGACAGACAGACAGACAGACAGACAGACAGACAAACAGACAGACGTGTCCACATGCATACGCGCATGCATGCATACACGCAGACGTATATACATGCATGCATGCATACATTCGTCCATACGCACAAACATACATACATAGATGTGTGCATGCATGCATGCATGCATGCATGCCTGCTTGTCTAGACGCATGCGTGCATAAGCTCATATATACATACATACATACATACATACATACATACATGCATGCATGCATGCATGCATGCATGCATGCATGCATACATACATACATACATACATACATACATACATACATGCATAAATGCATGCACACATACACACGAGGAGGAGGAGGAGGAGGAGGAGGAGGAGGAGGAGGAGGAACAGGAGGAGGAGGAGGGAGGAGGAGGAGCGAGAGGGGGAGGGGGAGGGGGAGGAGGAGAGATCGGGGAGGAACAAGCGGAGGAAGAGGAGGAGGCAGGAGGAGGAGGGCGAGCAGAAAGGCCAGAGCCTCTTGGATGCCTTTCGGAGTCTCTTCGGATTTCGTTTGGAAGTTTCTTGGAGTCGTCTTGGGCATCTTGGAGGTCTCTTGTCAGTCCCGGAGGCCTCTTGGGGCGTCTTGGGTGCCTCTGGGGTGGCGCTTGGAGCCACTTGGGGATATCCTAGGGCATCTTGGGGACAAGATGGGGGCTTCTTGCGGGCTTCGTTGGGCCTCCTGGTACCCCTGGGGCTCAAGCGTGCCAGGCACGCCTGGCGCGCCAGATGCGCCACGAGCTCCACGTGCGCCATGTGTGCCGCATGGTCCAGCCACGCCAGGTGCGCCACGTTCGGGGCACGCGCAGAGTTTCCCTTGTGCGCCCGCGCACGTGACAGCAAACATCGGGATACATGTCGGCCCCCACCATCCTTATCGAAAACCTATGCACACTCGCGGCGGGAAGGCCATCATGGTGTCGGCTCGGCCTGCGCACAGCAGGCACTATGCCAGCACCCCCGCCGTCCTTATCAAAAACTACAAGACAATGATTGCGGGGTGGCCGCCCATGATCCAGATTTAGCCGCGAATTGCATGTTGTATTGCTGTTCCCGGAAAAGGCATGGACCCAGGGCTCTCGTTTAGTAGGTGTCCCCCGGCATCCACTTGAAGAGGGCCGGCCGAATGATCTGCTATAAATAACACCACAAAATCTGAGTCGTTTGAGAAAACGCGTTTCGCGCGTGCCCGCTCGAGGAAAATGTGCCCCCGATCCCGGGTCCTCGAT